GTATTTGAGAGGGTTGAGGCGGTCCTGCTCTATTCAGTAAACCAAGATACTCGGTGCGGGCCGATTGTAAGCCGTAGGCACGAAAGCTCTAAGGGAGCGGTAGGGTTGAGGCGGTAGGCCAACAGACCCTGAGAATTTCAATCCAGTAGTTGACTGGATTCGACACATTGATATTCCAGCCCGAGGCTGATCGGGCAAATCATGGGCGTTTGTGGTTATGCGCTAGCAGTTGGCTATTACTGTATGTAGGTTCGGGAGTTGAAGGAAGCATTATCGTGTTAGCACAAAAAGGGTTCATCTCCCAGTTTGCCTCCCGTGGTTCGTGTTATCCCTGAAAATTTGGTCATTAAATGAGCTTTCTCTTCAAAGAATATCAAATCTCTTGTTCCAGCAAAGAATTATCAGCAGCAACGTGTGATCTGTGGTTCTGGAGAGAACTCCAAGATGAGTAGTCAGTTTAGGGAACAAGGGGAATGAAGCTAGTAATGGTTAGAATGGTTCGGACCGAGGTAGTTCTATAGACTACCGAGATGAACCAACAGATCATGCAGTGGTTGCAAACTACTCAGAGTCAGCATAAGAGTTATGCCGACTGACGGCGATCTGAGTTGGGGTTTCAGGTCGGTGATGTGGTGTTGCTGAAGGTCTCACCGTGGAAGGGTGTGATATGCTTCAGGAAGAAGGTAAGATTGGGTCCCTAATAGATTGGGCCATTTTGGGTTATTTCTAGAGTTCGCAAGGTGTCGTATAGACTGGATCTTCCAGAGGAGCTTAGTTAGATTCATAACACTTTCCATGTTTCACAATCGTGAAAGTGCGTGTTGGACAAGGATGCCCTGGTATCATTGGACGATCTTCAGGTCGATGATCACCCGAATTATGTTGAGATATCGGTGGCTGTCTTGGAAAAGAAAGGTAGGATCCTGCGTAGCAAGGAGATACCCTTGGTAAGGGTACACGTGGCAGCATCGGAGGGGATCCGAGTAGACTTGGGAGCTGGAGACTGAGATGCAAGAGCATTATCCGTAATTTTTCACTGCAGCAGGCTTCGAGGACGAAGCCTAGGTCAAGTGGGGGAGAGTTGTAACATCCTGATTTCCACAAATGGGATTTTAGGGATTTTAAGCAATTAAGAAAGCCTACTCGATAAGTTGGATGCCCCAACTCATCGTGTTGAAACCAAGAAGAGTCGCGTATTCCGGAGAACCTACTCAGCGAGTTGGAGGACCCAACTCGACGAGTTTAAGTTGATTATGAAAAACCTAATTTTTAGGGTTTGCACCCTATTTAAAGGACCTTAAGTCCTCCCTCCAGCCTCCCTTACCACCTTCACGTTCAGAAGCAAAACCTAATCAATCTAACCCCTATTTTGAGTGTGTGTGTGTGGCTAAAAGTGTGTGTTTGGTGCATTTCTTGAAGAGACTTGAAGATTTAGAAGCTTAGAACGAGAAGGAGCTTGTAGATCCAGCATCTACTTCGTTTTGTCTTTCATTTGAAGGTAAAAAGTCATTTCCTCTATCATTCTCTTGTTAGTTCTCTTCATTATAGAGTTTAAGGCCATTTCTAGCTTAGTCTTGAAGTATTTCTAGTTTTGAGCACGATTTAAAGTTGTAACTTCAGATCAGGACTCCTCTATGCCCTCATGGACATAAAGACTCAAGCTTTATGGAGTTTTGGCCCTTCTCCATGCCCAAAACCCCTTCCTAAGGCTAGTTTTAGTGTTTTACTCCCTTTGAGGCCTTGCATGCACGTAAAGTTGGCAACTTTACGTGGTATCTCAGTTCCATGAAGCTAGATATGGAGTTTGGGGCCTTGGAATCGAGTGGAAAGGGCTGAACACGTTAAGACAGGAAGAACTCGACGAGTTGGATAGCCAACTAGATGAGTTGGTTAGGGTTACCTATTTTCTGGATTCTGAGTGAACTCGGCGAGTTGGTGAGATAACTCGACGAGTTGGTTAGGGTTTTCCCGATATTTTGGATGTTGCATGGACTCGACGAGTTACTTGGTGACTCGATGAGTTGACTCGGGCTTTCGTGGTTTTCTGAGTTCTGAAGGAGCTCAACGAGTATGTAAGCTGCACTCGACGAGTTGGGTCAACATGGACTACTGACCTTGACCATTGACTTTGACTTTGACCAAGGGTTGACCAGTTTGAAGTCTGAGGGTATTTTGGTAATTTGGGGATTTACGGAATTGGAACAATGGTGGTTGTAGGTTTTGGTGTTTGGAGTTGTGTTGCAGGAGTTTGATCTTTTCAGTTCAATTTGACATTGTGAGGTGAGTTGTCCTCACTATACTAACAGGGTCGAAGGCACCAATGCCGACCCTTCTTTTTGGATTGTTATCCTGGTTGTTGCATGATGATATGTTTAGTGACCTGTTAGGTCGATATCCTGGTATATAAGATGATGCTATGTTAGTGACCGGTTAGGTCGATATCCTGGTATATAGGATGATGTTATGATTAGTGATCAGTTAGATCGGTTTGACTGTTTATATACGCTAGCATTTGTTATCTATGTGTTGATTGTATGATTGGGGGTGGGTTGAGGCGGACCTGCTTTGTGCCGTAGGCCAACATACCCAGGGCGGCCCGGATGGACTGAAGGCCAATGGGGGCATATCAGTCAGGCCGAAGGCCCAGAGAACGGTCCAGATAAGCTGAAGGCCCGGTGAGGTGATCCAGACATGATGAAGGTTCTGAGAGTGGGCCAGATAGACTGAAGGCCCGGTGAGGGCGGTCCAGTCATACTGTAGACTTTATATGCATGCTCTTTGTTATGATATGGTTATGTTGTGTGACGTTCGTATTACAGGGGAACTCACTAAGCTTCGAGCTTACAGTTTTGGATTTTGTTTCAGGTATTTCAGATGATCGTGGGTAGGCGAAGGCGCGATCGTACACCTCCTCACATTTTATGATTTTGATTTCTGGGATACTCTGATATGAAACTATTTTGAAAACATTTTGTAATAAATATAGTTTTTGAATACTTGAAAAAGTTTTAAATTTTCATGAATTTTATGGATATTACAGGAGTACACTTACCTTATCTTTCTGATGTCCTAAATGGGACATAAGATGTATATTGTTACGTTGTACATCTAAACACAATGGTCCTCATGTTAAGAACCACAAGTATCTCAGGAGTAAGGATAAAACGATCCATTTGGTTGAGAATAGCTTATGCCATCGATCCGTTAAATAATGATCTCAACAATATGTCTATCCAGAAAGTTTTTGTAGCAAATGCAAGTGAATATAACACAATATTTTCTATATTCATCATACGGATATCCTAGTTAGTGCTAGATTTGTTGGTCTTTTCATAATGTGGATGTGGTAGTTGGTGCTAGATTTGTTGGTCTCTTTTACACTTATGATCTCGATAAGAACCTTAATAACCCTAATATTAAGGTACCTTGTGAATGTTGATATTATGTAATTTTATTTGGAGTCATTTGATAAGACCTGGATCCTAAGGATTTTAGCAGCTCAAAAAATCACAATTTCATATTTAGGTAATGATGTTCAATATTGGATCGATTTTTTATTTTTTTGTCATTCATGCAAGGGATGTCAAATAAAAAATGAAAGGGCATTTAATTTAACATAAACGTATTTCTAGTCTATTAACAAATTTACAAATCCAACAAGGTTTTATATATAAAAAAGTAGATTTTTAATTACATTATAAATCTTGCTACTACATTTATGGCATATCACACTTACTTTCGATTGATTTCAGCGCAATCCCAGAAACCACACACCAATAAACATTTATTTTATTATATTATATATAATATAATTTTAATAAATATCAGGTGAATAAATATCAACAATAGGGAATGTATTAAATGCACGTGTAGTAACTAATAAAAACCGGCGAGTGGAGGAGAAAAAAAGAAATATGAAAAACATATCTCAAGTGTAAAGGAGAGGGCCCCACCACGTCAATTTGTTTTTAAAAATGGTGTACGGTTATTATGGGCTCGAAAGTGCATGTAGGGGAGGTGCACTGCACTGCATCGCATCATCAGACACAGTCTCCATAACCCCCCTCATGTATTGCGGTGCAGCCACGCCTCTTTTTTATGCCACTTAAAACCTCTTGTCCCGCCACCCAATCCTTCTCTTTGCTTACATCTTCAAATTTTCATTTTACCCCCTCCACTTTCTTCAATCCACAAAAACTTCCCCTTTACTTTCTAATTATTCATCTTTGACAATAATAAAAAATAGGTCGTTTGGCCGCTCGCTCAGCTTCCCCAGTTTACGAGGGAGCGGCTCATTGTAGACGATACACTAAGCAGTCTCGTTCAGAACTGTGTCGTAACCCAAACTGCTGCTTGAAACTTATATGATTTATCCAATTTACAGATATAATAATATTATATGATGTCTATTAGTTGATATTTGTTTATTTTTAGGTCATATTCATAGTGAATGATTTATTCTAGTTAAATATCTATAGTTTGAAGGAATGAGATTATTATAAGATCATTATTGGTGTTTTGAAGGTTGTAATTATATATAGTGAGGATAAATAGGAGATGCTTTTTAAAATTGCATTGAAACAAATGACAAACATATCAATAAAGGAACCTTTTGTATCTTCTCTTGGTATCATGTAACACAAGAAAACAATTTGTTACATTAAATAAAGTATTTATTTAATTTTTTTTTATAGTATTATATTATTTGTTTTAGTTTTTGGAAAAGGAAAGAAACGGAATAAAAAAGGAAATATAATTATTAGGGGGTCTTGGTCTGGCCTTATCTCCTTCTCCAGTTCATCTTGTGTTCCTCTCTTGAAGCTCGAGCCCCCACCCTTCACGAGCACTTGCCTCTTGCTTTCCAAACTAAAAAGAAGATTCAACTATTACTACTTCTATACTACTTTTACACAAACCCCAATCCTCCATTCGATTTCATCCAAGTTTCTTTAACCAATTGATATACAGATCTTTTCATCAGTCTACGAATTTAATCAACCATGAAGAGGGATCGTGAGCGTGAGCGTAAGAAGGAAGCAAAGCCATCGTCGTCGTCTTCAATGGCGGTTGGAATTGGAAAGGCGAAAGATTTGCATCAGTCGTTGCCGGATTCCGGCGGAATGGATGAGCTTCTGGAAGTGTTGGGTTACAAGGTGAGGTCAACGGATATGGCGGATGTAGCCAAGAAGCTTGAGCAGCTTGAAATGGTGATGGGTGAAGATGGGATTTTGCAACTGTCTGATACTGTTCATTACAACCCTTCTGATCTATCTGGTTGGGTTCAGAGTATGCTCTCCGAGCTCAACACCAACAGTTCTGATAATTCGTCTTCCACCAACTTCGGTATCGTTCTCCCCGGCGAATCCTCCTCCACCACCATGATTGATTTCTCCAACAACAAACAAATTGATACCCAACAAACAGGTGGTAAGATGTACGACGATGATCCATATGATTTGCGTGCGATTGCAGGTGGTGCTATTTACGGGACAACCGCAGAGGAGTCTCCGGTGTCTAGAAACGGAATTAAACGAATGAAAGCGGCCGCTCCTGGATCTGAAGCTGTTGACGTACCGCCGGAATCACCGAAACCGGTGGTTCTCGTCGATTCTCAGGAGGTTGGGATACGATTAGTTCACACGTTGATGGCCTGCGCGGAGGCGGTGCAGCAGGACAACCTGAAACTAGCCGACGCTCTTGTCAAACACGTGGGTCTCCTGGCGGCGTCACAGGCTGGCGCCATGGGGAAAGTCGCCACCTATTTCGCCGGTGCACTTGCTCAGAGAATCTACAAGATCTATCCTCAAGATGGGCTTGAAACTTCATGTTGGGAAATTTTACAGATGCATTTCTATGAAAGCTGTCCTTACCTCAAATTCGCACACTTCACAGCCAATCAAGCCATCCTCGAAGCATTCGCCGGAGCAACCCGCGTACACGTTATTGATTTCAGCTTGAACCAAGGGATGCAATGGCCGGCGCTTATGCAAGCTCTGGCATTACGCGCCGGTGGTCCACCGGCTTTCCGTCTAACAGGAATTGGGCCACCGCAACCGGATAACACCGATGCGTTACAGCAAGTAGGATGGAAATTAGCTCAATTAGCAGACACAATCGGAGTCGAATTTGAATTCCGTGGGTTTGTTGCGAATTCATTAGCTGATATCGATGCATCGATGCTTGATATCCGACCGGCGGAGGTCGAAGTGGTGGCGGTGAACTCCGTTTTCGAGCTCCACCGCCTCTTAGCTCGTCCCGGCGCCGTCGAGACGGTGTTGAATTCAATCAAAGCAATGAAACCGAAAATAGTGACTCTCGTGGAACAAGAATCTAACCATAACGGCGCCGTTTTTTTAGACAGGTTCAACGAAGCTTTACATTACTACTCCACCATGTTCGACTCGTTGGAAAGCTCGGCGTTGACTCAACCTCTCAGTCAAGATTTGGTGATGTCGGAGGTGTACTTAGGGCGGCAGATATGTAACGTGGTGGCGTGCGAAGGTACGGACCGAGTTGAACGCCATGAAACACTGAGTCAATGGCGGAACCGGTTAAACTCAGCCGGGTTCGACCCAGTTCACCTGGGGTCCAATGCTTTTAAACAAGCGAGCATGTTGTTGGCTTTGTTCGCCGGCGGCGATGGGTACAGGGTGGAAGAAAACGACGGGTGCTTGATGTTGGGGTGGCATACGAGGCCATTGATTGCCACCTCCGCTTGGCAACCTGGCAGTACTATTATCGAGTGATGAGTATGAGTCAACCCGGGAAACGATTCTGGTGAACTCAGTAGCTGTAATGAGTGGAATGGGAGACAACGATAGAGAAAGAAAGACCCATACGAGTCAAATCAAGTCTTTTCATAATTTACATTTCACACACCCGAGTCAGCTTTGTTTACGTTTTTTCCACTACTTTCTTTAAGTGGTTGATGTTTTTTTACTCGTTTAAATGGGAGTCGTTTGTACTTTTACTTTGTGGGGTTATAAACCCCAAATTTTATGTTTATATTTTTTTTTCTTTTATTTTAATAAAACGTCCGTCAGAGTTCCGGTTATTAACAAGTTTGAAGAAAGATTGATTATTATAAAAACCATTTAAAGTTTAATTTAATACCATAACAACAGGAAAGATAATAGAAATTCGCAATTTAAATTAAAACCGTGATAAATATGTTACTTTTTCTGTTACAATATTGTAATGGAAAAGATAACAGATCTGATCATAGTTTAAATTACAGTCTAACTAAATGTGTTACTTTTTTATGTTACAAATATCAAATTTAACCAACAAGAAATGACTATACTTTTTTAATAATAAAAAAATTCAGGAAAAAGAAGTTATTGATAACGAATATTCAAGTCCCTCAGAATTGAGATATACATAGTTACGTACATAGACAACCAAAACAGTGAAAAAGATATGAGAATATCAGGCCGGGTCCAATAAAAATAGAAAGAGGACCATTTAAAATCATATGCCGGACAATAAATCCAAAGATTAAAACAATGACTTAGACAATTATTGATAAGAATTCAAGAACATTTTGAAGTATTTAGGTGAAGATAAAATTTAAAAATATTATCCAATTAATAATGCAGATATTTAATAGAATAATTTGTAAGGATCTAAATTAGGACTTTTAAACTATTATAATATATTTCTTTTTTGTTAAATTGTTCAGGTTTACGTTCATAAACACTTGATAATTAAATCCAACACATGTTTGCATATTTTCACATAGATAATTTTGCATAGTACATGTCCTATAGTGAAAACCATGTTTCCCAAATGAGTTCTCTTTGAATTTATCTTCTTGAATAATTTTACTTAGTTTGATTATTGAGATAAAATCCTACTTTTATTGTTATATAATTATTTATTAATTTTGTAATAGTTTATTTTATAAGAAATGCTTCAAGACAAAATTTGTTATGACACCCGATCCGTTGCACTTGACAGTTGACTCAAGGTGCTTGCCATAGCTATAATACATGTTATCAATTACAAAGAAAAAAGAAATTTCAGAATACACATCGGGTTTTGGACCCCAAGGGTTTTTATTTTTATTTATTTATTTATTTTTTAACGTCGGATGCATTAAAACCAACTAGCAAGATGCTAGAGCAAAATACAAAGTACAAATGAAAACAAAAAATCACATAGTACAAGCATAAAAAGGAAACTTACACCAATCAAACCAATTTAGACTACTATATCAATGTCTATGTTTAATCCAATTGAACGCACTCAATTGAATGTCATCCACCAATTTCATAGGAGAACGTCTCTTTTTTTTAAACACCAAATCGTTTCGGGCTCTCCAGATCCACCAAATCAAAGAATATACCAAGGCTAATTTCATCTTTCTCCTGTTCTTCCTGTGTGTAGACATTTGCAATTCATGGGGGATTCAACGTAAAGCAGCTCCATGAAAAAAACCAATGCCAAACCTGTATTGCAAAAAGAGCATCGAAAAAATATATGCTCGATATCTTCCTCATCAGTGTTGCAAAAAGGGATAACAGTGGTAGGTAAAATAATGTTGCGAACCATGAGATTTTTAGCAACAGGGATCCTCCAAACAAAACAATTTAGTTTAATAGGTATCCAACTAACCCATTTGAAATCTCGAACAGCAACCTCTGAATTACGTTTCCCAAGTACTGTGATAACTAAGTTAGTAATTGAATGAGAGAAAAAGATTGACCCTAACAAAACCCCAATCCTATAAATATGGGGTAATGGTAAGCTAAGATGTAGGCAGTTGGGCTGTTTCCTCAACAACCGCTAGCATAAGCAAAAGGAAAAAGGAAATCGAGGGTCTGCGATGTATGAACTCCTTATATAAAACCGTAGTCCACCATGAAGAAATAAATTAATAAATACAAACAATAAGGCTTAAAGTAAAAGAGGAGCAAAGTAAGCATATAAATAATGTACCAATACATAGACAGTAAAAGTAGATACTTGCGATGAGACATCTAAAGGAAACAATAACAAATACATATTGTAAATAAAGAACCAACAAATGTAAGATGATAAGCACTAAAGTCTAGTTCCCGAGCTTTAGCAAAGAAAAAAAAGGGAAATAAAGTAAGGAGAGAAAAAAAAAGAGAAAATAAATGATTTTTTTTTAATTTGTGTTCCTGAGTTGGAGAGAAGTGAAAAAAATAAAACATTTTGTTTTTTTCTCTCTAAATCCTTGCAAATTGGAAGGAAAATTAGAAGGGGAAATGATCATTCTGTTTCCTTTCACTTCATTCCTTTAATGAAACTCGAAAACACTAGTTTCTTTTACTTTCTTCTCACTTCCATCTATTTCTCTTCTTTTCCTTCTTTAAATTGAACTCATGAACATGGTGTAAGGGAGAACATAAACAAATAGGAAGTGCTCAAGTACATATAATACTTACTCCTTTACTACTTTATTGTATCACATACAATTTGGTGCTAGAGATTTTCGCACTTAAGTGTACTTTTGTAACGTCCCAGTTTTCAGAATAATTTTTTTTAATTTTTAAAAATAATATAAACACCTGTTTTCAAAGAATTATAATCAAGGTGAAACCATTTGTTCATAAACCACATTCGATAATTAGAGTTATAAAGAAAAGCAACGCAAAATCTTAAATCATAAAATTGTTGATGTGCGTGTATAGGTTGTGTTTGGCGCGCCACAGCTAGCTGATAAGCTAGCTTATTTTTCGAGTATTTTATGTTGTCGTGTTTGGCAAGCCAAAAAGTAGCTTATAAGCTAGCTTTTTGAAAAGCTAGTTAGACTAGCTTTTTAGGAGTTTTTTTAAAATTTTCCAAATACACCCCTTAATTAATTATAGAAACACATACTCTTACATGTCCTTTTATGTAATTTTATATATTTCAGCCATCTTTTCAGCTAGTTTTACCAAAAGTTATTTTTTATCAGCTAGCTTTTCAGCTATCAACTAGCTTTTTATTTAACAGCTTGCTATTTCAGCTATCAGCTAGTTTTTCAGCTATCAGTTAGCTTTTCAGCTAGTACGCCAAACATAGTCATAGTCATGCCTTCGTCATCAACTTCTTTGTACCTAAATAACATACATAATGCAGTCTTAAATGACTTTTTAAATAAAAAAATATGAAACAGATAATCAGGCATGTAAATAAAAGGCTTGTCAGCAATGTGATAACACTGACCTTGTATTCGGTTTTGTGGAGGAATCGAACATATTTTACCAAAAAATTGACATGTAACAATTCCTTCTATTCACACATTTAAGAAAACATCATTTTACAACATTCGTTGAATCAGACATTTCATCGAACACCTGGCGTGCAAAAGGAAAAACAATTCCAAGTAATAAGAAAAATTTTCAATAGAACCACCAATAAACACCAAATGATTCAATAGACAAAAAACAAAATTGTAGCATGTGTGGTGCTGGTAGAAGGTCTAAAGGTCTGTAATTTGCGAAAACAAAGAAAATGGACGTCTATTTGGCATAGCGATGATGGAAGAATAGACATCAAATTCAAATACCCGAATACCTGACGTTCTACTTATAGTTTCAGTCCCCTTTGAATGTCACAGACTGAAGGTTAACTTGTATTTGACTTTTGGGCATGACCATTATCAGTCAATCGATAGTAGATTCGGAGGTGGGATAACCGTACGTCGAAATACTGAACCCGGTTACCGTATTATCTCAGGAACTGAAGCGATTGAACGCAGAAGTGGTACAGAAAGGGGTAGAAAATCCAACGTCTGGACAACAAAGTACAAAAAAAAGTCGACCTAGTCGTATGCATAGATATTAGGGCTTAAAAAACCCAACCGAAGGTGTGAAAAAAAGAGGAATGAAGCATTCAGATGTAACCTATTCATCATCAATGGGTTCAGACTTATTGTTCCTGGAAGAGTCGATGAAAACATACCCGATGGTTGTAAAAAGAGAATCTTTGGTGGAAGCAGAAGGCAATAGATTTTAAGAAAAGGGAAGATAGAAGCAGATGAATAGAATTGGTGGAGGAACCCAAAACGTCAACTATCAACGGTGGTGGATGTGACTGGAAGCGGTGGGAGGGGGAGACAAAAGATGGAAAGAAATTAGGGTGCGTAGAAGGAGAGGTGGGTTGGGAAAAGTATGGCTGATTTGGGGATATGGGGTGAAGAAACCAAGTAGATGAAGCGGTGAATGAGACGTGGCAGAAAACGTTGAAGGGATGTGATGACGATGCCAATGTCTAGAACAGTCCATAGTAAAAATATAAAAACTAAAAAATAAAAGTGATCTAATAGGATCACATCACTGTTCACAAAGGTACCTTGGATTTAATATATATATATATATATATATATATATATATATATATATATATATATATAATACATTGTGGTATACAAGTGTTATTACGGAGATGAGACGTAGCACCCAAATCTATATACCATCCAATGTTTTTTTGGATAATTCAAGGATAAAGTTTTGAACATTTGCGGTTGCTTGGTCGGTAAAAGTTTACGCTTGATTACTCCAAGGCGGTGTTATCTGTTATGGCGGGATAAGTGACAAAATGGGCCAATAGTGATGTTTTGGGTTGGATGTTGGCTGAATTAGGGGTGTTCGTTTGGATGGATCGGTTCGATCCGATCCAATCAAGTGAATCCAAATGGATTTCGGTTTTCAAAACACAGATCTGAACAATCCAAACTAAATTCAAGTCCGATCCGAACCAACCAAATTACAATTCAGTTGGATCGGTTTTTACA